ATCATATGCTTTTTAGAAGGCAACACCCACTATCTAAACCCACCCATGGCATTTTGAACTGCAGAAGCAACTTGAGATATGGGTGGCATCCCTCGAGTTAAGGGATCCAAAAAGCTTGCTTGTTTCTGATGGACACAGCTTGAAGGAGCATGCACAGCACCTGGAAGGGGTTGAGACGTGTCTGCAAGCTGTGGTGACCACCAAACAACTTCACTGCACAGTTTGTTTAACCGTGTGGGATGCAGTCAAGGCCTTACACCTGCTGTCAATGAGATCCTTCTGCTGAGCTGAGCTCAAAGCCTGTAAACTGGGTTAGTCACTCATTTTATTTACTCACTTTGATATCCAGTGATGGCTGGGCCTGCTGGGATGAATACAAAGCCTGCTGAAAGCATGGGAATATTCTCCATTACTTCAGTGGGCTCTCAATGGATCTAACACACAAACCATAAAGGTTCCCTGCATGAAAGATGCTTTGGAAGTGTCAGGTATGACTCTTGCCCCGTTGCTGTTAACCCCAAATGGGACAGGAGAATAGTTAAGTACAAAACCTGGGTAGCTGGGCCAGTAGAAATTGTCTACAAAGTGATCAGCAAAGCTGCAGGTCTCTGACATTCCAGATCAGCAGTGAGAGAGCAAAAAACCATCTTCTCCTGGGACAGGAGCCTCTCCTGAGGTCAGGAGAACAGCTGGGGACAGAAGATGAGAGACAATAACTGGACACCACAGCTACAATTTTTGGGAAAGGCGGAAAAAAAAAAAAATCTCAGCCTTGGATTTTCAATTTTCCTCATAATAAAGAGTACATAGGGGTACAAGGAAACATAGAACCAGCTAATTCAATGCTGGAAAAGATGAATTTGCATTACAGAACTGTCCTTAAAAATGGAATAGCACAAAACTGACCACAGGAAGTAACTGGTGCAAAAAAACCCATACAATAAATTGTTCTGCACTTCCTTCATGGAGACTTCGGGTCATTAGGCAATTTCTCAGCTGTCTCAGGTAAAAAACATATGCTCTGGAGACAGATAATTTTCTAATTTTGAACTAACAGATTTTTTGCATTTTAATACTTCTGGACACACCTCAATTCCCTAGTGAGAGCTTCAGACAGAATACAGAAGTTAAAACTACTGATCTAATCCAATCAATTTTTGCTTTTAGGGAACATTTACAAAAGAAGAGAAAGAAACTGACTTTTTTGAGGTGAAAAACAGTCTGGAGAAAGAGCAGAAAATTTACCCATCCTATCTTTAGCTTAGAATACTTTCTCTTCAGTATAATTTTGACTCTCTGCCCAGAAGCCTCAACGTAAGTCTCTTGATTGCACAAGCCACAAGAGAATCAAGTGTTTGAAGAAGGCTATTGAAAAAAGAGATGTTTCCTACTGCACTTTTGGGTCATAGTCTAATTTAGTAAATTCACCCCCTTAAAATTTTACTAAGTTTAAAGAAGGATTTTTACATTTGGAAAAATGCTGCTTGCAAACAAAGTTTAATAAAATGGAGAGAGGAATGATGAATGATGAATGTAATGTAACCACAGGAAAGCAGAGGTGTTTCCTCTTTCACTGTTCTTAATTAAAATAAAAATTTAAAAAATCCACTGAAACTGAGAAGGATTTGTTTACTTCTTTGCTCTCATCAGGGCTGATGGCTCTGGGAAAGGAAAGAGTTGGACATGGGGCCCTGCTCACACCCCTTCATTCTGGGCACCCTGGCTAAGCTGCACTTCCCAAGCCCAAGGTGAGCAGCACCTCCCTGGGGTGGTCCTGTCCCTACCCAGGGGTGACAAAGGAGCTGTCCTCAGACCTAAAACCTGCTTTGGACTAGGAAGCATCTTTCCCTGCACTTCTTCTCCCAGCACCATCCTGTCTGTGCACCCCCTTGGCACAGTCTTGGTCCCAGAAGGACTCTGCCCTCTCCTGCCAAATGCTGAGAGCTCAGGAATGTGCAGGAAACCACACCCTTCCCAAACTCTCTTGGGGAGGCTGAAGTGACTCAAGGAACTAACCTGTAACATGTCAGGTCAACAGTGCTGGTATTTCCTCTTCTGGTCATTTCTGCTCCAAGATGATTTTTGCTCTAAAGGCACCTCAGCATCTTGCAGGCAGCTACTGAAGCTGCTTCGTCTCTCAAGAGTCATTGAGACATTTAACAAGTTTCTGCACCCACATGAATACTGTGGGTATAAATGCCCTCTCCCTGCCACCATCCCCACAGCAACTTTGGACTTTGGCACCTCCTTCCCAGTCCATTACAGCCACCTCAACCATCAGCTCTGAACTGAGCCAACTGATGGACAGTTTACCTTTATTCTGCAGCTCCTGTTAACCTTCAAGGGACAAGCAGGCATGAGTAACCTTAAACAGCACCCCAAATTAGTCCTCAAAGAGTGAGAGTCCCATCCTTTTGCAGTTCTCCTGAGCTGCTCCTGATGGAGCTGAATTCCCTGGCCTCCAGCATTCACAGAGGTGTTGATTCTTACAACTCCATTCCTGATATTTTCTTCCATTCTATGGGGTATTTCAAGGTTGTGTTAACAGTACCAGCTGCAACTCTCATCAGACCTCTGGAGAGCTGGGCCAGCAGCTGGGTATCATGGAAGAAGGGACATACCTTCTAAAATCACTGTGGCACTCTTGCCTCCCAAGACTGGCATGGGTACCTGCCCTGAACTGCAACAGACTCAACACATGATAAATAAATCCCTGTGCCTACATTTAATGTCTCCAGAGAGAGATCCCATGGGGGATCTTTCATGTGTAATATCTGAGCCAGGCTAATCTAATTTGGTAACCAAATGGCAAAAACTCTCCATGACAGACAGTCTTTCATCCTTGCAAAAAACCACACAGAACAAACTTTGGAATGACCCCAACTGGCAAAACCTGACTTGAATAGGGAGTTTATTTTACATTTTAATTTTCTATTTTGTTCTGCTTGCAGTTAAAATAAACGGTATAGAGCTGATTTATAAAAACACTACCAAACAAAAAAACTCTTTACCCAACAGTACTGCACAATATTTAGAGTTCTGCAGGGACCAGTATACATAGAGGGATTTTAATTTTCCATGGACTGTAAGCGTTATAATCTCCATCAACTGCGTGCACTCTGGGACCATGAGTAACACCAGTGCTTGAACTCTGACTGGCTGCTGGCTTCTTTCTTCTGTCTTTAACACTGTTTTGAAACTCACACTTGATCCAATAATTTGCAGGAATAAAGAAGTTGTTATAGCAAAGGGTTCCTCTCGAGTCTAACTCACAGGTCTGTTATAGGACAATGTGTCAATAAATCAGAGGTGTCTGTGAGTCCAAGCAACTGCTATGAATGACCAGCACTCATCTAGGGACAAAGGCTTTACTTATTAGGAGAAATTACACCGGTAATTTAAATTACACATTCAGATGCCAGGACTATCTTCATGGGTTTGACTACTAGCAATCCTCTCACAGCATCCGTGGCAAATATTCCACTACATCTTGTTTATCATGTGTGCCCTGCCTCAACATTTCAGGAATGTTACAACCACTGACTTCCCCAGGATCCTCTAAAGGCATGACCTCTCTACCTTTTCCAACTCATATTCCCCATCTTTAAAGGTGTATTCCTACTCAAGCTGCTTTCTCCCTTTCTCCCCTTGCTTTTCAGTGCAAGGCTGACTAGAATGAACAGCTCTGGCAGTTTTGGTACCACACACTCTTGTGTTTCGGTGCTGCCACGTTAACCACCCTGGTATGTCCTGTTCAGTCATGCTAAAACAACGCTTTGCTTTCCAGGACTGAGTTAAGTAGGACACCAAAGGGGTTTTATCACATGCTGGGGCCCCACTTGCTTGCCCAGATGTTCTACTGAGAAACAAGCGACCCACAGAGCCCTGTGCAAGCCAAGACAGTGATGGCAGGATAAAAATGTCTCAGAGACCTCTGCCTCAATCCACAGACTGAGCTTGCCCCATCTCAGTTCTCTCTGGAAGTCACACAGCTCTCCTTGATTCGCATTTGCTAGTGGTAGACTGCTATCAGGATTTAATTATTGCACAGGCAAAACACATACAATACTGTGGCTATCAAATTTAAACAGGTGTGCCCCAAGTGAGTCATTGCACCTGAGACTGGAATCTGGGAATATTGATCAAAAAAAGGAGATGTTGGAGATGACCAAGGACCAAGTTTTCATAGAATTAACTGGAAAGGAGAAAAAGGAATCTCAGTTTGCCATGAAGCATGAAACTGGTCTGGAAAACAGATTTCTGCTCCCTTGAGAGTTTTTAATAGTTTTGGATAAATAAGCTAAATAGAGACTGAAGGGCTGCCTGAGACACACACAAAACTATTGAATTATGACATGTTTGAGAGGTTATTTACTTTATAGAGTATTTACATAAGCTCCACTTCTTCTTCATATATAAGCTCAAATACTACAAAGATTCCCCCTCCACCCTTAATGAGGGTTCTGCATTAAACAGTCCCAAATATCCATAATTAACCTTTTTTCAAGAACATCCCTAGGAAAGTTCTCCAGGCAATCCATTAATCTTTAGCAATAGGACAAGAGGAAACAGTCTCATGTGGCGCTAGGGGAGGTTTGGATTGGACATTAGGAAAAATTTATTCATGAAAAGAGCTGTCAAGCATTGGAACAGGCTGCTCAGAGAAGTGTTGGAGTCACCATCCCTGGAGGTATTTAGAAGACGTGTGGATGTGGTGCTTGGGCACACGGTTTAGCTGCAGACTTGGCAGTGCTGGGTTAGCAGTTAACTCGATGATCTTGGAGGTCTTTTTGAACCTAAACCATTCTATGGTTCCCCAGAGCCTGAGCAAATCCAGGGAAATTCCACTCTCTCACCAGGCAAATGAGGCACGTGTGGAAAGAAAACACAGGGCATTAAAAGGAAGAGGAGTCAGAATGTGAAGTGATGACTGGGATATTGATATTAAAGCAGCGGATTTTTCCTCAATTCTCTGCCCCATCTGGACCAATTCTGCTCACCTGAGAAGTGTCATGGTTGAATATGACAGAATTCAGGTCTCCACAGTTGTAGTGCTTGATGAGATCCTCAGTGGTGTAAGGGGCCTGCAGACTCCCTGCTCGAAGGCTTTCGTGTTGGAGCAGAGTTTGGTTTAGAGCAAACAGCACCTGCAGAAACACAGGCAGAAAAAGGGAGAAAAAGTTAAAGACAGTAGGAATCAAAACAACAAGGGCTAAAGGACAAAACTTTGAAAGACTTTCCTGCACTTGAAGTCTATTCCCTTGATCCATTCTGGCCCACAGTAACAAGGGATGGTCTTTAGGCATTCCCAAATGGAAAAGCATTCAGGTGCTTGCAAGGCCCTATTATATTTATATATTTATATATTTATATATTTATATATTTATATATTTATATATTTATATATTTATATTTATATATTTATATATTTATGTATTTAGATATTTAGATATTTAGATATTTAGATATTTAGATATATTTATATATGTTTATTTATGTATATTTACATTTATATTTACATTTACATTTACATTTATATTTATATTTATATTTATATTTATATTTATATTTATATTTATATTTATATTTATATTTATATTTATATCTATTGCAAGGCCTCCATAGGGAACAGCTTCAGAGCAGACACATATTGCTCAGAGGTCACAGTCTTAGAACACTTGGGCTCTCTGTGCTGGTTGATTTGCTTCATGACAGACACTGGAATGGAAACACCCCTAAATGAGGAAACTTCTGTTGCCTCTGTTTGTTTCCTGTACCCCAGCTTAAATCCAAAGCCCAAACTCAGTTGAAAGAGTTTTGAGAAAAAAATCAAAATCTTCTGACCTTCTGAAGTCAAAGGTGGGAACTTTGGGATGCTTGTACTATTGGGATTTTGTTCACACTTGTAGTAACAGAAACTTTAGGAAATTCATTATTAGTGTCCCTCCTCTTGTCTTTCCTCCTTCACCCACCCATTTGCAAAGTGAGAACTGAGATACATATCTGTAACACTGTCCCAACAGACTGGTCCAGTATCCCCATCCCAAACTTGAAAAAAACCCAAAAAAGCAGAAGCAGTATCTACTGTGTAATTTTGGGTAACCAAAGAAATAAATGTTCTTGAATTACTAAACAAAAACAGAAAAATCCAAGCAAACAAACAAAAAAAAAAAGGTTCCCACCACAAACGTCCCCTCAACAAAAAACTAAATGAAACCAAACAAAAAAGGATCACTAAATTTCACATGAACTACCGAAAGTCTTTTTAGATTTGTGACAGACTGAGGGAGTAATATATATCAGTTATTGAACCACCAAGTCTGGGTTTTGTATGTTCTGCTTTCCAAGAACCTTCTGAAGAAACTTGATAAAAAGTAGATGAATAAATCAGAAGAATAGCAGTGAAGACTTTTGTCACAAATTATATAAATAAACAAACACACTTTTCCTAAAATAAAGTGGAATGTGGTGACGGTGAAGATTTTAATCAGATTTTTCAGAGTTCTGAAAAATTATATTGATGTGTCATTTTTCATGAAAAGACTCCTGCACCCCTCAGTCTCATATTTCACCACATTTTGAGCTTTTCTCATTTTTAGCAGCAGTGCCACATCCTTCCCAGAGAATAACAGTTATCTCAAAATCTGGGTAAGGTAATCCCTGCTGAGCTGCAGTCTGGGACCTGAATTCTTACCTTCTTAAATTTTAGCAACCAAACCCACTCCAAGGAGTGAACCCAAGAGGAGTTTAAAATCAGCAATTTACATATGTATTTGCAGGATGGAAGTTTTTCTTAGTTTAAAATTATGATTCCCATTGAAATTTATCTGAAGGTGAAGGAAAGGAAGTTGCAAAATCTCATGTATATAAAAAAGTATCATAGTTAATTATTAATAATAACATTGATAATGTTAATAATATGAATAATAACAAATGATCTTCAGGGCACTAACAGCCTCAATAAAAAGCTGTTACATGCTAACTAACATACACAAATTGGGTTGAGAGACAGCAAATGTTATTTTTTAATTTACTTAGGGAAAAAAAATAAAAAGGATGGTCTTTCAACTGAACCTGTTATAATTCAATCTGGTAATCGGTTCCCAATTAAGAGCCAAGCCTAAAAGATTTCCTTGCCCAGATCTAAGGGTCTCTTCAGGCTTTTCTACAAAGAGATCAAGCTTTACCAGGACCACAGCCTGAAGTTAAGCATCTTCCTAACTTAGTTTTTCTCTAATTTAAAAAATATGCAAAAAACAGAGTTTGAAAAATTTCTAACATTTGAAAGGATCTGCGCTTTTTCTTTTTCTCCTAAGGGCTACAGCTCCAAGAGGAAATGGTTCATCCCAGGATTTCCTGGGGATTCTAAACATTTTGACTAATAAAAATAAAAGCTTAGAAAAACATTGACAGGAAAAATGAGAGCAGAGGTTTTCCCAAAATGCTTTTAGCAAAATCCTTCTCATTTTTTATTTTTTAAACAATGGATGTTACTGGATTTTTTATATACAAAAATATGTATACACACAGGCACACACATATATACAAACCACCAACAAGTCCTGAGGGGAAGCCCATGTGTTTTATGATAAAATATTAAGAAGGCAATAAACAAATCCTTACTTATTTCACTCCCAATGTCCATTTTCCCTCCCTTTTTTCTTTTTTTTTTTCCTTCTTTTTTTTTCTTTTTTGTTATTCTGGGGAAATCAGTCCTGTGCATTAATGCTGTGGGTCTTTCTCCTCTGAGTAAGTTTGGAACCTATTATAGTATTTCAGTCACATTTGTAGGGGGTTAGAGATCTTGAAGAAAATTGTCTGTGTGTTCCTCAAAAATCAGCCTGCAGAGAAGTTCACAGTACGACTTCACTTCTTATAAGACACCAAAGATTCCAAACGAGACAGAATGGGTTATTTTGCAGTTTTTGGCAGATGGCCCCCCATGATTTCATTAGTGCCAGGATGTTCATGTCCCTGCTTTCTGCCTCAGAGCAGCTTTGGGACCCAGAGGTGATGCTGGCCACCAGCTGAGCCCATCCAGCATGCTGCTGTAGCCATGGGGAGCTCAGCACTGGGCTCAAGCTGCTGCCCCTAAAGCTCCTCCAGAGATTTTATTTTAGGAGGAAAGTTAAAATCAGAAACTCGAACACTTGAATATGCTAAAGGAAAACTGTAATTAACTGATTTCTAGAGAAATCTTACTTAATCAAGCCATATACAACATGGATTTTGGTTGGGTGGCTCAAAACGAATTTAAAGAGAAGCGGGGTCTCATCACAGTTGCCTGTTTCCTGGCTGGATTTGTAGACCATTTCCTTCAGAGTATTTTAAAGCCAGCTTAAAACCCAAATTTATTTTTCCTTACTGTTCAGTTAATGCCACAAAAACAACGCTGTTTCCTTCCCTTCTCTCTATCTTAATATCAGTGACCCCACGACCCCCAGCCTAATCCTCTGAGTTAAATCTCCCAGAGCTGCCTGAGATTACTGAACAACTGATGACTTCAAAATAAACACACTTAGAGTGACTGCCCATATACAGTCCCACCTAATAAACAGAGCATATGGGATTTGTTCTGGGAAGCAATGGGAAATTATGACTTTGGCTCTCGGGAAGTGGATTTTTATTCACACAATTTATGGTCCTCACCCTAGTGTGCTTTGAAGACATTTTTGTACATCTGTCTCTGGCCCCACTGTTTGTGACTGACCAACCTTTTAATCTGGGCGGTGTCATTCCCCCAACACAGAGGTTTTATTTGGGTGTTTGGAGACACCAACTCAGCCCTCAGGGCAGTCCTGTTCTACTGTCAGTGGGGGTGGATCCCACTGGTCCAGGCATTTTTGGAATTGCTTTGCACAGCCTTTGGACCTCTCAAGGAAAAGGGGCTGGACCAGTGAAGACCTTCACAAACAGCTTTACTGATCACCTTGACACTCAAACAGGATTCCCCCTCTCCACGCTTCTGGATTACAGAGCCAGGAGTCACACAAGAACAGAAGGAATAGGTTACAAAAGCAAACCTCCTATATAAATCAACTGGAATATTTATGGCGTTTAACTTTCACTTTCAGAAAGACAAAGCATTATAAAACCTCCAAACCACACATAAAGCAAGCAGACACAACTGCAGTGAGTCCTAAGGTCTTGAGGCTGGCACTGCCCAGAAGTGTTGGTATCAGCACTTGTCCTTGGAACAGTTTGAATTTTGTTTTGCAAACACATTGGTGAGGTTGGGGGTTTGATTTTATGTGATAATTTAATGAGAGTTGGTTTCCAGGGAAGTTAACCTAATCTACAGAAACAGATCTAGAGAACCACTGCCGCCTTTTTAAGGAGGTAGGAGAAATGAATAAATGTGTACTTGGCTGGGCTTAGGAACACTCCAGCCTTTCCACCAGAAATCATTTTCTTCATTGAACTTTTGGGACCACAGATAGGTGAAAATCCCATTGTTCCAAGGTCCTCTCACAACCATTCACATATTGTGTTTTGTTGTGCCTGGTCAGCAGCTTCAAACTGGACATTTGAAGGCCCCTGAAGGCCAGGACCATGTCAGTGCTGTATGTGACAGCTAAGGAGAAATCACAGCCTCCGTGCCAGAGAGATTTCTCCTTATCTGTGTTCTACATTTGTCTCTAGGTGAAGAGCATTAAGAAGAACCAGAAAACAAAAAACAAGCTAAACCTCATCAAATACATCATCATTCCTGGTTACATCAGCAGTGGACAGGTGGACCTGTCCACCTGTGGAATCAAGTGGAAAGGTTGCCAGGTCCACCTCTTCAATTTTTCTAAGGCCCCAAATAATGGCAGAAAAGAAAAATAAAAAAAAAGTTTTGTGGGAACATCTAATAAGCAACTGTGAAAGTAAGACAAGGAAACCTTATTCACAGATAAAACACTTAAGTGGTTCCAAACCTTCCCATGAAATATATTGCTAATAAAACAGAAAACAAATTCAGGAATTGCAATAGGAAAAACACATTTTTTGTGAAACTTAAGAAAAATTGGAGCTGTGTTCTTCTGGTGTTTGCTGTACAGGAGACTTGAAGATGAAAGGCAACCCTAGGAAAACTGTCAGGCCAAGCTTTGCATTCACAGGACTCCAGTAGCTGGAATTACAGGATGACCCCTGCACAGACCCA